ACCCCATCCCCATTCCTGGCAAATGTGACTTCAGTACCCCAAGGAGACACACTATATCAGATAAATCCACTATCCTATAATTCATTGATTTGTTTCCTCAGCTCCTCAATCTCAATATGACTCATGCGGTAAGGGGTAACCGAGATAGGCTGGGTGTCTGGCTGAAGATCTATGATAAATTCAACTTCTCTGTCTATTGACAATTGGGGTAGTTCATCCAGAAGCACATCTAGGAAATCTCAGATTACCAAAATCTTTTGAATACAAATTTCTTTCTTAGATTGGCCTGTTGTAGAGAAAACAACCGAATTAAAGTGCTATGTAATAAGAAAATTGCTATGAGGGAACAATATTCAAAACTTTTATTAGCTTGTAAATAACTCTTCGTTAGGAGGCTTAAATACAAATTTTTTCATGGAAACAATCCACGGTGGCGTGATACGCCGCTAACCAGTTCATTCTTAGAAATGCATCAGGGTCCCCCATGTCAATCTCTATCAGGTCCATCATGGGTGAAATCGAATCCCGTGGACCAGGGACCAGATGTCGTTGGGGAGGGACCAGGTGGCCCTGTAACGGTGCCGGATGATATGTTGGGAGCTCTGAATTGTATTGTGCGATGTCAGATGATACATGAATGAGCAAATTTGCATCGAGATGGCATTAGATCCTCTCGTTGTAGGGGTGGTTCATAGTGTGGAAGTGGTGGAGGGTCAAACAGTTCCCTCCTCTCTTCTCTGGCCTACTGGGAAGAAATGAGTCTCTTTAAAATCTCGAAGAGCTTATCGACATCCCCTCGAAGCGACCCGTATCGGGCTGCCCTGTTCAGTAAGAGACCTCATCTCTTCGTGTCTTTGTACTTATTTTTCATAAGGAAGGGTTGGACAATAGTTCATATTTGGTGTTTTTAAGTTTTTGTGTAAGGAATGGTTCCGAGAAATGCAACTCTGATACCAACTGTAAATACCCAAAACTTAAAGGGAAATAAAGTTATAAATTAAATGCGGAAGCAAAATAATAGAGTTTAGGGTTTACATTCCTTACACAATAATTTAGAATGTCTAATAGAGTTACGAGAATGTCCATTCTAAAAGAACAAATGAAAATCAAAGAAATAAATAAAGGCAAATAATTGAGCATTCTAGGATGACTTTCACTAGCTTTTGAAGGGAGTCCGCGTAGTGAACTATTCACAACCCTCTTGTTGATTTGGATCTGGATCTTGATTCTTTTGACTTGAAATAATTAATGAAAGGGTGAACTACACTACCTAGTAAGAATATCACACCACTCACCGATACAGAGACGGAAAGTTGGTAAAAATCATAAAAATACCAACGGAGCTCTTGATTTAAGTAAATTCATTTATCATAAAGAAAATCATTTATTGCATATATTTACCGTTGTAAGATTTTTAAAATCGACCTATAGAGGCAATAACTCAAATAATATTATAATTTCATATTCAAGTGAGTAACAATAACAACTTTTCCTTTTTATTTGCCTACTGATATTCGTGAGGGCCTATAGAGATGTCCCATTACGCGTGAACCAATATCCAACATTGTCAACTAACCTGCCGTCCCCATACCCCGTTTGATATGAGTACTAAAAATACCATTCCTCAATACTCCATCTAGTTGAGGGTGAATCAAACCGTCCTCATATTCCATTCGGTATGAGCGCCAAAAATACCATTACTTGTTACCCCGTTCGGTATGGGGTAACGTTCACGGTAGGATTCCCTATGTACCCGATTCATCCATCATCTCTCAGGATATCCAATAAGACTATCATTCATTAATTCACATGACCAAATAATTTTCTGTTTGCATATTAATTTTTAATTTTACAAATCAACCCATAAATCACGCAAGACAAGCAATATATATATCAAGGAAGTAAAATTGAATTATTTAACAATTTTAATATATCATCATATATTTAAAGCTGTAAATTCAACAATTAATTAAATAGAACAAATAAATAACTAACTAGTTCCGGCTCCATTAGTAACCTGTAATTATTCTCAAAGTTTTCTAAATTACACAAAATATCATATTATCGATTATTAAGCTTCAATTCCATAACAAAGAATAAGGTGAGAGATTTTTACCCGAATCAGTGTCTGAAATACCGAACTTTCTTCTGTGTCTACTGGCGGTTTTTGAATTTCTTGAATTTTTTTACAGAGATTAAAACATGCTTCATGTACCTAAAAATACCCCAAAAAACTCAAAAGCGGTATTAAAAACTTTTTCGACCAATTTCAAAATTCCAGCACAGTGGCACCGCCGTGGGCGGCAATGATTTGCCTTGGTCTGGTTGTTTTCGGCCAGTTTTGGCTGGTTTCGGCCGGTTTTATACCTATTCCTGTGAGAAAACATGTTAGGGGACTCGGTTGGCTGAAAAAAATTTTAAATATAGAAACTTACCGGTGGCTGAATTTTTCGGTGCGGTGGCTCTGCCGGCTCACCTTTGCAGCTAATAATTTTTCTTTAGTCAACCTATATAAAATAGAACGGTGAACACAATAGTAAAAAAATTGCACAAACGAGAGACGGGTTTTGCCTGTAATTTTTGGTTCATCTGCCATTCTTTTTATTCTGATTTGGCCATGGAGTGCTCAAAATCAAATTACGAGCGGATAAGAGAATTTTTACCTTTTTTGGTTATCGGAGGTGGCTCTAGCGCGGTGGCGGGCGACAGTCAGCTCCCTTTTCTGGCGACTGGTTCTTCTTCTTTGGCGGGAGGCTGGAGGCTAGGGTTTGGGTTCGGTGTGATACAAAATATTTATACCATCTCACATAAATCTAGGCCGTTCGTCGCGTTTGATCTTGACCGTCCGATCGCATTTAAAGAAGAATGAATATGGACCATTCATTGTGATTTGATCTCGACCGTCCGATCGTATTTAAAGATGGAACAAATCTGGACCGTTCATCGCATTTAATCACAACTGTCCGATCGCGCCTGAGGAGGGAACGGATCCGGATCGTCCACGCATACAGGAACGCTTTCGGTCCGTCTAATCGCGGGGCATGCAGATCACCAGCGTGGCCTCTGGTGTGGCATCGAGTCAGCGTGTCTTGCCACGCAGCACGCTTCGATTTGTTGAAATTGCTGACTCGGCGGTCCTACGTAGCATAATTTTTTTAATTGCATTATGACCCATAGTTTTCGATTTTTCTTTCAGAAATACCACTCGAACTCAAATTTTCATCCATTTTTTTCAAAAAAAATTTCAATTTCTTTCTCAACTTATTTTTTCATATTTCACATTAAATTAAAATTTATTAATTTTAAAAATAAATTTTTATACATTTTTTTGATGTTGAAATTAATTCCGGGTCAAATTCCGGACCCGGGTATTACATTTTTAATTGAAAGACCTTCTGGGGTACACTTGCGTTTCATGTTTCGGCCTCAGAGTATTAGGCAGAATAAACCCATTTCTAGGCTCTCAACCTTCTTTCTTTTTCTTGTTCTTATTCTATTTAAGCGGCTACCATCACTTGGAACATCTTGATTGAATGATTTGCATGATAATCATTAATGTTGGGTATGGTCAGTTATGTATAAGGTTTATTAATGTTCAAATTTAACTATATTTAGATGATAATATATTAATATCTAATAGTGACAACTGTTTTTATTTAAATTAATAGAATGATATTGTTATATATTTGAGTAAATTTTTTATTTTATCCATATTTTATTGTATATAATAATAATGAAAAATTAAAAAATATATAATATTAAATATAAAGATATATAATTAAATATATTTATATATATAATTAAAATATTATATACACATATATTTATAATTAAAATATTATATACATGTATAACATATAAATAAAAACATAAATACATATATATATTATAAAATATATATCTAAATATATTATATATATTATATATAATTAAATATATAAATGATTAAATATATAAATATGTATTGAGAAAAGAAATAGAATAAAAAAAATATATGGTAAAAGAAATTAAAGAAAAATGTAATATTATAAATAATAAAAAATATTAAAAAATTTATGATTCAATAATATAAAATTTATCGAATCTACTATATAAAAAAATAAAAAAAAATTATAATTTTAATAATTATGACTCAACCAATTATATTATATATTTAAAAATACAAACAAATAAAGACTCAAGTCGCAGCAAGCCGTGATGACTGGTTGCGGCGTCAGAGCGCTGTGGATTCTCAACAGCGTAGACGCCATCGTCTTTTCCAGGTATCCATTGCATTGACACTATACGCGATACGCGTCTGTATATGTTCAGCTGAAAACGAAACTTATCGTCGTTTCTTCTTCGATAATATATATTTGTGCATTATTTCCAATTACTCCATCTACAAACTCTGTCCGTTTCTTTGATCATTTTCTTTTGCGAAATGAAATTATTTTGAACTCGTAGGGTTTTAAATTCCTTGGCATTATTAGATTCCTTTAATATGAGATAATGTCTGATGATTGCTTAACCTTTTTTTTTGCATCAAGGAAGTGAAAAAAACATGGAAAGGAAACGATTTTTTTAGTTGAATTCTTTCATTTTGTTTCCCGATCAGGGTTACTTCGTTTTCCCCCCAGTTTGGACTTTGATTTGCAGCGCCAAACAGTATTTGATTTTGTTTTAATGTTTGAAAAATAACAGGAGGTTTACTGTGGTGGAGAAGCGATGGCGTGCTGCTTGTCAGAGTGAAAATGAGAGCGCTAGCGAATATTCCTCAAAGAATTCCGCCGTGTCTGTACTACCTACAGATCCAGAATTAGCCACTGCATTTGCGGAGAGGAAGCAAAGGTCAGCGAAACAGTTCACCAGTCTTATTTTCTCGTTTCTGATTTTCAACATCGTAATCTGTCAATGAAGAATTGTTTCTTAGCTTTTAAGCCTCATATCTCATGATTATGAAGCTACTCATTAAATTGAGGCTGAATATAGGCTTGGTAGTCCCGTTACTTAACTAAAATTTACATTTGGAAGTCCATGACATTCCAACTTTTGGTTCTGGTGTCATCTTTTCGTTTGAAACTTTAGAGCCATTTTTTTTTTTTCAAAACCCGTTTTCAACTAACCATGATGTTAGCTGTACCTATGCTGGGAGGGATTGTTGCGCGGGTTTGGCATTCGTGTAACTCAATTGACCAACGGCTCGGATTCCTGGGTTGATGACCCAATTACACGTCATATTATAAGCCTTTACATACACATAGAGGAGGAAGGAGAGAATCATTTTCTATGGCCTTTAGTCTTGCATGTAAATGGCCCCGATTGCATCCTAGTGTTGCCTTTGGTGGAGCCTCGTCAACTAAAGGAGTATATGGAGTTGTGTAGAAGATCTGATTGTGGAAAGCTATTGGTGCAGATGGAAGTTTGTCTTCACTCATCCTTGATCTTCTGTCCATCACAGGGTGTGGTAAGTTGCTTGCTGAATCTTTTATTTTTTAGTAATTATAAGATTATAGTTTAGTGTTTTTCTCCGGCAATTTGTCACTCTCATTTGAATGCTTAACATAATGGATTTTACAATATTTTGTTACCGCTGCTGCCTTATGAGTTTAGTTTAAACAAGGACAAATATTTTAGAAAATCAAGGAAATTAGCAGGTATTTGATTCTACTTTAGTGAATTGATTACATAAGCATAGGGCTTGCTCTGTTTTGGAATTGTTGAAAATTTAAAATCTTGAGAATTGCTGCAAGAATGCTTCTGTCTTTTCTGGAAATCATTTCATTTACACAGTATGGGGAGGCTGCTGCTGATGTTGATTATGGAGTAATAATATAAAAGTCATGAATTATATTTAAAAAAAATAGAAAGCATATGGATTGTTCGACCATATGGAGTGATAATATGTTTTTGAGGTAAAGTCTTCGTTTCTGAAATCCCGACTGTCATTTAGGTTATGGCTGCAGTGAGAATATTGGGAAAAATGGAGAATGAAAAGGTTAGATCCTGGTTAGTTATCCAAATTGTTTTGCATTTTCATTTTGTGAATTTATATATGTTTATAAGCATATCGAGAATAATGAAAGTTTTTGGATATTTATAAATACATTTAAAAAATGAAATTTAGACGTGAAAAATTATTAAATTAGGTTATTGATATATCTAGTATTTGTAATTGTTCAAAGATGTTAATCTTTTTGGGTGCTCAAATAGATTTAAAAAATTTTAATTTTGTTGAAACCAACCTTTTGTTTAATGAAAAACCAACTATTATTGATCGAATTATCATATTGCCAGTTTTGTTTATTTAGTAATTTATTTTAAAACATTGCCCATGAGGGTACGTCATGTTGACAACAAAAAGATATACCGAAAAGATATTAGAAGCCTATAATTTTTGTTTTGATAGGAATTGGAAGGATCTAAAAGGGTGTGTATGTTGCTTTGAACATAGAAAATGGGTATATGGAAGCCTATAACAGAAAAAAAATTCAAATTATAATCCGTTAGCTTTTTATTTTAACATTCAGATGCCTCTGAACTCTCAACTTCATGATTTTTTCGCTTTTGTCGGTCTCCTTTGTTATTAGAATAATAAATTTGGTTTTGTTGTTTCTTACCAGAGTTTGAAGTATATAGCATTGGCCGAATTAGGAGAAGGATGCTCGCCACTCAACTATATACTACTATTCACACTGTCGTGAAATAATTGATGTTGGTGTAACCATCTTGTCAAAAAAGTTTGTATGCTCGAGACCTGTCCATTGGTTTGCTTCCCAAGTATAACTGCAGCTAGAATTGCCATTATTGTTTCTAGTTGTCCCAACATAAAGAAGGTCTTGATTGAGAAATGAAAAATTAGTGAGAGGATCAAACACAGAGCAAGTGCAGTCATGGCCTCCCTCTGCTTTTTTGCTTTTGTTGCTCTTCTTTGTTATAAGAATAATAAATTTGGTTTCGTTATTTCTTATCAGAGTTTGAAGGAGCATGTGTCGAATTAGAAGAAATATACCTGCTACTCAACTATATAGTACTCTCATACTGTTGTGAAATAACTGATGTTGGTCTAGCACATCTTGTCAAAACTTCTAGTCTATTTGAGACCTGTCACATGGTTTATTATTCAAGTATAACTGCAGTTGAAGTTGTCACCATTATTTCTAGTTGTCCCAACATAAAGAAGATCTTGATTGAGAAATAAAAGGTTAGCTGTAGCGCCCGGAAAGGGGCTGAATAAAAATAAAAAATAAAAAAAAAGCCACGTCGGCAGCCACGTCAGCAGGCCCGGTCAGCAGTCCCGGCCAATCGGGACCTGCCACGTGGCAAAACCACGTCGTTCTAAAAAGGGCCACGTTGGCGATCCGCGTGGGTGCGATCGGACGGCCCAGATTTAAACGCACGGACGGCCCAGATTTAATAAAAAACGAACGGCCCAGATTAAAACAAAATGGACGGCTGAGATCAAAAGGCAAAAAGTTATAAATAGAACCCCCACACCAGACCACAAACCCTAGCCGCCTGCCGCTCGCCGGAGAAGACGAACCAGAAGCCGGTCGCCGCCACCCGCCGCCGCACCGGAGGAATTTCTGACCGCCGATCAAGGTAAATTTCGTACCCCTGACTCGTTTTTCCACGCTGATTCCTCCTGTGGCCAAATCAGAGCCAAAATCCCGGCCAAACGGCCGGAATACACGGCCGAAGCCCAGCGGCGCCGCCGCGCCCCTTCTCGGTTTTTGCCTCCGATGAGGCCCTTCCCGGCCTCCGTTTGATGCAATTTTTATATCACCGTGATCACCATTCTTTTATCTACAGGTTGACCGGAGCCGAATCACCAAAACACGAACCTTGCCGGAGAGCCGCCGCACCCGAGAGCGCCGCCGCCGGTAAGCTCCGTTTTTCCGTGATTTTTTGGCCCCCCGAGGGCCCTAGGGTTGTTTTCTCGCAGGGACCGATGCGAGTGTGGCCGAATTCGGCCGGAAACGGCCGAAAACAGCCAACCCGAGGTGAATCGCCGTCGCCAGAGCACGGCGGAGCCGCCGTGCCGGAGTTGCGATTTGGGCCGAAAGGGGCCCTGGGCCTAATTTGGGATTTTTTTGGAACACGTGCAGGTACCAGTAGTGCGTTTCAGTTCCCCGAGGAAAATTCAGGAAAAATTAGGGACAGCCTGCAAGCGCACTGTGAAGCCGTGTTCGGACCCCGAAACGAGTAAGGACCCCTCACCCTATTTCCTATCACGGTTTTAAAGTCCAATAAATGATAAAACGGTTTTTCATGAATCAACAAATGTGTGAAATTGCTTAAGGTCGCTAATGGAGCCCGAGTCTAGTATGTTTATCGGTTAACTGTTATTTGGCCTGTTTTACAGTTTTAAATGCAGCATGAGGTTCGATGTTTTCATTTTATAGTTTCGTGTGCATATTTTACTGTTTTATTGATTATGGATTGAATGACCGGGATATTGATGCTATATGTTGTCTGTTTGGCATAAATTATCGTTTTGCTTGTTTGTATGTGATTGATAATGCTGACTGAGGGAAAAGGAGAATGAAAGATTATGTGAATGGAAATTGTATAATGTGTTCAGCTTGACTAGATATCTTGGGAGATGGTGGACGGACCGGGTCCGTAGGGAACCCTACCGGGATTGTGGTCTCCCATACCGGACGGGGTATGGAGATCTTATGTGTTTTGGCGCCCATACCGGACGGGGTATGGGGACGGCCCGTTTCACCCTCATACCGGACGGGGTAATGAGGTTTATTGTTTTGGCGCCCATACCGGACGGGGTATGGGGACGGCCCGTTTCACCCTCATACCGGACGGGGTAATGAGGTCTATGATTTGGCGCCCATACCGGACGGGGTATGGGGATGGCCCTGGAATATGATTTCAAGTGTTAAGGATTAACGGGTAGCGAGACCCCTATGGATCCCCATAGATACTAGTGGGCTGGTGAATTAGGAAAATATGTTGTTAACGATTAAATTACGAAAAGTGTAATAGGTATTATGTTATACAGTTCATATATATGTTTTCATGATGATGATGATGTTATTGCTTTCATATATTGTTTTATGAATTTCACCGAGGTAAGTGAATGGTAAAGGTTTTATTATCGATAAAAGGATTTGTTGTAAATTATGCTCCATTGGTTTTTTTTGTGTTTTCTACCCACCTTTACCTCCGTGACGGTGAGATATCCTGATGTCTTTACTAGGCTAGTGTAGCTCATTCCTTATTTAATCATTTCAGATCAAGAGGACATCGTTCCCGAGCCGGTTCCGCAGGAGGACGATGAAGGGGACGCCTAAAGACTCCATAGTCACATTCGTAGTTTTTACTTTCAAGTTTTCTCCCTTAGGTAGTTTGATCTTTTATATTTTGTGAGCACGTTTTTTGTTTTGGTGTAAGGGATGTTATTCAAATTTTGAGTTCGCTTCCATATTTGATATTTTTAATATAATTTCCATCTTGAATTTTCAGGGCTGCTACATTAGCAATAGGACCAAACGTAGAGTAAGTGCAATTATGATCTACCTTTGTGTGGATCTTGAGGCTTGCTCATGTAAAGCCAGTATCAATGTTGCATTGATGCATGTTTTAACATTGATGTAAGCTTTATATGGGCATGCCTAAAGATCCTCTTTAAGATAGCTATGACTGCACTTGTTCTGCCTTTGATCATCTCACTAACCTTCCATTTTTCGACCATGACCTTCTTTATGTTGGAACAACTGGAAATAATGGTGGCAAGTCCAACTGCAGTTATACTTCAATAGTAAATCATGTGACAGGTCTTAAATAAGCTGAAATTTTTAACAAGATGAGCTAGACCAACATTAGTTACTTCACAATAGTATGAAAGTACTGTATTGTTTGGTAACAAGCATCCTTCTCCTAATTCAACTATTGTTATATCCTTCAAATTCTGTAAGAAATAACGAAATCAAATTTATTATTCTAATAACAAAAAAAGAGCAACAAAAGCAAAAAAGCAGAGGCCAGCCATGACTGGATTTGCTCTGTGTTTGGTCCTCTCGCTAACTTGTTATTTCTCAACCAAGACCTTCTTTATGTTGGGATAACTATAAATAAAAGTAGCAACTCCATTTGCAGTTATACCAAATATTTTTATAATAATTTATTTTGTGATGTCACATTTGGATGATAGTTTACCTAATATTTGCAGTATTTTTTTTTTTTTTTTAAAGTACCAAATATTTTTGTAGTATTTGTGTAGGATATATTTGGAAAAGAATAGTTAGTGGTTGTTTCGCCAACACAAGGGAGGCAATCTTTAATTTCGATTTTACTTGGCTTAAGAATATCTATAGGTTTTACAATTTGTCATGTTGATTTTGATGTAAAGTTTTTGATTCTAAAATGTTAAGACTATCATTTAGCTTATTGCTGCAGTGAGAGGATTGGGAAAAACGAAGAATGAAAAGGGAAGGACCTAGTTAGTTCTCTAAATTGTTTCAATTTTCATTTTATAAATTTATATATGTTTATAAGTATATTGAGAAGAATAAAAGTTTGTGGATATTTATAAATACACTTAAAAAAATAAAAATAAGATATGAAAAACTGTTAAATTAAGTTATTAATATATGTACCATTTGTAATTGTTTTAAGATGTTAAGGTGCTCAAATAAATTTTAAGAATTTTAATTTTATTGAAACCAACCTCTTGTTTAATGAAAAAACTTGGTCAAATTATCATTGATAATGCGACTTGAATTTTAGAGATATTTTATTTATATTTAAAAGAATATTTTATATTTATTTTATTAGATATTTTATGTATATTTTAGAAATATTTTATATTTATTTCAGAGAATATCTGATATATATTATAAAAAGTTTTGTTAGAGAAAAACTATAATAATTTCTTTATTTATATGTTTGCTAATTTATTGCGGATGTACTCTCTTATATTATTATAGTGAAATTTTTTTTGTTGATTTTGTCCGTAAATGTAGATATATTGTCGAACTATGTTAAATTTCGTGTGTCTTTTCTATTTTGTTATACTTTGTTGTGATTGTGAATGATTTAAAATTTAATTTTTCAAACAATCATATTGTTGGTGTCGTTCATTTAGTAATTTTTAAAAGCATTGCCCATGAAGGTATGTCATCTTGATAACAAAAAGATACACTCACAAGATATTTGAAGACTATAATTTTTGTTTTGATAGGAATTGGAAGAATCTAAAAAGGTGTGTATGTTGCCTTGAACGTAGAAATTGTGTCTATTAAAGCTTATAATAAGCAAAAATTCAAACTATAATCCGTTAACTTTTTGCTTTAACATTCAAATGTTATTAAACTCTCAACTTCGTAATGCTTTTTGTTTTTGTCCTTCTTTAATGTTATCAAAATAATAAATTTAGTTTCGTTGTATCTTGATAAAATTTGAAGGATGTAACATTGGTCAAATTAGGCGAAAGATGCCTATTGCATAACTATATAGTACTGTCATATTATTGTGAAATAATTAATGTTTATCTGATTTATCTTATTAAAAGTCTCAATATGCTCAAGACCTATTACATAATTTATTATCTAACTATAACTGCAGCTAGAGTTGTCACTATTATTTTCAATTGTCCCAACATAAAGAAGGTCTTGGTTGAGAAATGGAAGGTTAGCGAGAGGATGAAATGCAGAACAAGTGCAATCATGACCTACCTTTGCATGAATATTTAGGGTTGCTCATGTAAAACCTACATCAATATTGTGCCATAAGTATAGTATGAGAGTCAAAGAGAGTTAAAAATTTTTAAGTTTTAAGAGGATGAGGACGAGAATGTATTTGTGTAGTCATCTATCATTCAGTTATTTGTTGTATTTTATTTTGTGAAGATTGTCTTTAATTTATCTATTATTATTGAATATTTTCTTACATAACATTCTTAATAGGTTTTTGTTTTTTTAAACATACCAAATATTTTTATAGTATGTGTGTAGGATATTTTTGAAAATGAATAATTAGTAGTTGTTTCGCCTACACAAGAAAGACAATTTTTAATTTGGATTGTATTTAGTTTAGGAACATCTATAGGTTTTACAATTTTTTATGTTAATTTTGAGGTGAAAATCTTAGATCTCGATTCTTAACCATATTTTAGATTATGACAGTAGTGAGAAGATTGAAAAAAATAGAGAATAAAAAGATAAGAATTTTGTTAGTTATTCAAATTATTTTGTAAATTTATTTATGTTTATATGTACATTGAAAAGAATAAAAATTTATGAATGTTTTTAAATACATTGAAAAAATAAAAATAAGATGTCAAAAATTGTTAAACTAAATTATTGATATATATACTATTTGTAGTTGTTTAAAGATGTTAATTTTTTTGGGTGCTCAAATAAAATTTTTAATTTTTAATTTTGATAAAATCTAACCCTTGTTTAATGAAAATACAACTATTATCAATCAAAACTATCACAATATCGATGTCGTTTATTTAGTAATTTATTTAAAAACATTGCCCTCGTGCTGTTAACAAAAAGAATACACTCATTAAAAGTCTACAATTTTTATTTTGATAGGAATTGAAAATATCTAAAAGGTTGTGTATGAGTTGCTATGAACATAAAAAATGGATTTGTTGAATCCTATAATAGGATAAAAGTTAAGATATAAGATTTAATTAAGATAAATTTTTTTAAAAAATATTAGGATTTATTTTGAAAAATAAGTAAATTTTATTTACTTATATATAGAGAAAATAAAATTTTACTATTTATTCATCTTTAAAGAACTTAAAAGAAATAGAATAATTGAAAATTATTTTCTTTACCTGTCAAATTCTGATGTGTGAAGTTAATAACAAGAGAATGGTTCTTATAGATTGATAATTGTTTTACAAAGTTAAGTCTCTAATTTTAAATTTTATAATATCATCAACTAATTTCAAATTAATTAATAGTTTTTTTTTTATTTTTTTATTATCAAATACTCGTGCATAACTTCTTACCACGACTATTTTTTCAAATGCGTTGAAATCTACTTATTAAACGACGTCGTTGTTTAATTAGAAGATCTTCTGGCGTGCGCACTCGCGTTTCATGTTTCGGCCTCACAGCATCAGGCCGAACAAACCCATTTCCAGATTCTGAGCCTTCTTTTCCTTGTTCTTATTATATCTCCAGCGACTACCATCACTTGGAAGTTGCAGGAAAATCAAGCCATGTCGGCTGGTTGCAGCATCAGAGCCCTCTGGATTCTCAACAGCGTAGACGCCGTCGTCTTTTCCAGGTGTCCGTCGCATTAACACTATTACGTGTCTGTATATGTTCAGCTGAAAACGAAGCTTCTCGCTGTTTCTTCTTCGATTACATATTTGTGCATTATTTCCAATTACTCCATCTACAATCTCTCTCCGTCTCTCTTTGATTATTTTCTTTATCGCTAAATGATATGATTTTGAACTTGTAGGATTTCAAGTTCCTTGGCACCATTAGATTTTTTTTTTTTTTTTTAATATGAGATAGTATCTGATGATTGCTTGACCTTTTTCTTTTCGTTTAAATTTAAGGAAGTAAAAACTTGAAAAGTAAAACGATTTTTTAAGTTGAATTATTTCATTTTGTTTCCTGATCAAGGTTACTTCGCTTTCCCCTATTTTTGACATTGATTCGCACCACCAAACAGTTTTTGATTTAGTTTTATTTTTTGAAAAATAACAGGAGGTTTCCTGTGGTGGAGAAGCGGTGGTGTGCTGCTTGTCAGAGTGAAAATGAGAGCGCTAGCGAATATTCGTCAAAGAATCCCGTGGTATCTGTACTACCTACAGATGCAGAATTAGCCACTGCATTTGCAGAGAGGAAGCAAAGGTCACCAAAACAGTTCACCAGTCTTATTTTCTCGTCTCTAATTTTCGACATCGTAATCTGTCAATGAGAATTGCTTCTTAGCTTTTAAGCCTCATATCTCGTGATTATGAATCTACTCATCAAATTGAGGCTGAATATAGGCTTGGTAGTTCCGTTACTTAACCAAAATGTACATTTGGAAGTCCATGGCATTCCAACTTTTGGTTCTGGTGTCATCTTTTCGTTTGAGATGTCGGAGCCTTTTCTTTTTTGAAAACCCGTTTTCAACTGAGCATGATGTTAGCTGTACCTATATGCAGGGAGGGATCCTTGCGCGGGTTTGGCATTCGTGCAACTCAATCAACCAAGGGCTCGGATTCCTGGGTTGATGATCCGATTACACGCCATATTATAAGCCTTTACATACACAGAGAGGAGGAAGGAGAGAATCATTTTCTATGGCCTTTAGTCTTGCATGTAAAGGGCCCCTATTGCATCCTAGTGTTGCCTCTGGTGGAGCCTCGTCAACTAAAGGAGTATATGGAGTTGTGTAGAAGATCTGATTGTGGAAATGCTATTGGTGCAGATGGAAGTTTGTCTTCGCTCATCCTTGATCTTCTGTGCATCACAGGGTATGGTAAGTTGCTTGCTGTATCTTTCATTTTTTAGTAATTATAAGATTATAGTTTAGTGTTTTCTTCCAGCAATTTGTCATTCTTATTTGAATGTGTAACATAATGGATTTTACAATATTTTGTTACCGCTGCTGCCTTATGAGTTTAGTTTAAACAAGGACAAATATTTTAGAAAATCAAGGAAATTAGCAGGTATTTGATTCTACTTTAGTGAATTGATTACATAAGCACAGGGCTTGCTCCATTTTGGAATTGTTGAAAATTTAAAGTCTTGAGAATTGCTGCAACAATACTTCCGTCTTTCTGGAAATCATTTCATTTACAGAGTATTGGGGAGGTTATTGCTGATATTTATTATGGAGTAATAATATGAAAGTCGTGATTATATTTAAAAATAATAGAAAGCATATGGGTTGTTCGACCATATCATGCATATAGTGATCAAATTTATTATTCTTTTATGGGAATTTCTATATTTGTATTTCTTTCATCTTCTCATTAAGAATAGCTGTTTTTGTTTTGAAAGAAAAAAGTATAATATGTATTAATATGGTACCAAAGGGGGTACCACCCGTATACACAAGAATTTATAAGGTTGTAAGGGTATCAATAACATCCCTAAAATCTTCATCCCTAATGATGTTATGTCCCAAAATAAGAGATGCAAAATATTTGAACCACCTATCTCTTAATTTATATCTACCAACCTCAATTCCTCAAAAGCTCTTAATTTTTTTCTTTCCAAATGACCCAGAAAATAGCCAGAGGAATAATCTTTACAAAGTTTTTTTCCGAATAAACCCCTCCCCATGCCCATATCTCAGCTAACACCGAATCCGTTGAAACCCATTGAATGCCTAACGAGCTGTATATCATGCACCATAAATCATACACTGCTGGGCATCTAAGGAGTAAGTGACAGCAAGTTTCCT